TTTTATTGGTTACCCAAAGCAGTTCTAACGCCCGCATATTCAGGCTAGTCAATTTAGAGATAATAGGGGTTAAAAATGAGTTTTTAATGGGAGATTATTTAGGATAAATAATCTTAACCAATTTATAGTATACGTCACAATGATTCCGTACATATAAAGAATGTTGGAATCCGAGTTATAACGAAGAAGTTATGACCCGTCAAAGTTTTACGACTAAACCAACACGACACCGCGTAACGTAAAAAGTGAATTTTTGATAAATTACTTTTTAGCCTTAGAGATCTAAAAGAAAGTCGTAGTAGACATTAAACCAAGAGCGTGCATATAGAGAACATCCAAATCTGACTTTGTATGAGGAAATTATGATTTTTCTAATATTTTGCATAGCAGTATACAACCCGCAAATCGAATTTTAGATCGATCAATTTTAGATTAATAGGAGCTCAACGATATAAAGACAGTCGAAAACGAATGTCGGATGACAAAGTTATGAATTTTTAACGGACTTTAACTGTCTAAGCCTGTTAAAATACAACTTTAAAAATAAAGTCAAAATTAGCTGACGGAGTCTAAACGAAAGTTGTAGATCACATTGCTACCTATGCGTGAATATAACGAACGTCAAAAATGGAGCTCGTATGTGAAACTTACGAACTTTAAAAGATAACTAGTTTTTGGAGTAATCTGCGAGTGACACATGGCGCGATTTAAGCCACTGCTTCTTCCGCACGCCTTTCCACCAAATGGTGACACTTGGTACCTCAACACGACGTGTTGGGGCACAAAACACCGTGTTTTTCACTTTCCAACCTATAAATAAAGGCACAAATCAACCTATTTCTTCACACCTTTCTAACTCTTCTCTCCCAAATTCCCCGAAGCCTCAGCGCTTTTTCTCTAGTCATTCTTAGGAGTTAGTAGCGAGTCCTGGAGTGCCAGAAGGCTTCAAGAAGAAGAGCTTTCGGCTCAAAAGTTATTCTTGAGCAGAGCCCGGTTCCTTGCTAAACCCCCTTGTAAGTGAGTTATGCTTACCCTACTTTAAGTATAACTTATGTTTAAGTTCATTATGGTTATTATGAACTTATAAACAAGATTTATCAATGATTCAAAGTCATTATACTGAATGAACTACTTACGGGAGAGGTGTCTATTATGGTCCCGTTGGGCTTGATTGTTGGATTTCAGTAAAACTATATGCCAAAATGGTCTTGCCTGGCTGATCCTTACTTGATAGATCATGACGTAGAGCTTGTGTTAATGATAAATCTAGACTAATAATTAGTCACAATAAATATTAAACTAAAAACTTAGCGATAATAATGCTAGGATTCATCAAAGGAAAAGATGATTGTTAGAAGCGAGCACTGCCCGAATTTCGAGTCGTCACTTTAACAAGTGAGTGCATATTCCATTTCATGAACATGATTTTAATTCAAGTACTAACTAAAGTATTCAATATATTTTTATGTGTGAAACATTTGATATTTCCTGAAATACGTGTTAAGATCATATCTTATGGTATATGATGATTTAGGATACATAGTAAACCTAAATTAATTAAAAGGAATATTGGGTAGTATCTTCTTATAAGTATGAGTGAGATATACACGGAGGGTAGAACTTTAAAATTTATCATTGATCCGAGAGCATAGATTAGACATAGCCATTCATCCCTAGTCCGAGAGTATGGAGTGGGTAAAGTCATTTGTCATTTATCTGATAGCATGGATTAGAAAAACCTGATCCAAGAGTATGGATTATGTAAAGTTGTTAATTTTAGATTCGAGAGTATGGATCGTGTCGATGTGAGGATCGACGGGTTAGGGTAAAATTGCTATATGAGGTGAAATTGTATATTACGAGTTCATATATATATATATATATATATATATATATATATATATATACATATATATATATATATATATCACATTGTGGGATTGAAATCCCTATGTACTAATCAGGTTTCCCAACCTGACCCACTGAGTTTATTTGTATCACAAGTATCGATACGAAGATACATTACACTGAGAGATTAAAGGATATGTAAATCATTAATGTAAATGAATGTAATGTCTGTTTATGCTTATTTTTCTGTATTCACGATGACTTCCCAATGCTTTAATATAAAAAAAAAAAAATATTTCTTCGGAAATGCTTTAAAAGTATATTTATCATGTTTTCTGGCAACAAATTCTGCAATATTATTCTTTAAAATGGATTCTCTGATTTTTAAATAATCATAAATAAATTTTTTAAAATGACTGTGAATTTGGGAAAGTCACAGTTGGCATCAGAGCATTAGTTTAAGCAAACTAGGAATTTTAGGAAATTTGTAGACCTAAACTTAGAATGCTAAGTGTTAGGTTAAACCTCAAGAACGATTTGATGATCATAGTGCGGAATATAAAAACGAACACAATAATGAAGATAAGATGGATGAACATAATATTTTATTCAATAACATGAGGAAATTACATTCTAAGAAAAGATTAAAGTAAATCTATTCTACCTAAGAAACCTCATTATGATTAACGGCTACATCTTACCTCGCTCTTAACCCTAATAATGAATAATACATGACAATATACAGGGAATAAAACAAGTCTTAGGCCTAATAGCCTACACTTCATCAAGGGGGGCCTATTGTCATAATCCATGGAATACTTTGAACCCTACATTCTCCCCCTCAAAGTATGGAATGGATGACAAGGCGTCAACTTCCAAAACAAGCATCTAGCAAATATGAAAGGATCTCGTAACGAGGAGTATCAAAAGCGATTCATGAATCTTGATTCTTCAATTGTATTCAAAACGGGTTCTAGGATATATATAAATACGAAACCAAGAACTGGAGTAATGTTTTTAAACTTCATCTTCTAATGTAATCCCAAAGATCTTCAAGAAAGCGAAACCTGCCATAAAAACCCATTTTAGAATTAAGAAACAAAATCACTTCTTGTCTTTGAAGAACTCCCCATCCAAGTCACAATGATCTTCAAATAAGCTAATGATATAAGCCACCAAAAAATATCACGTAACAAACCAAATTTAAGATTCGTAACATCACTTGATCGAGAGATCACTAAACTTCAGATATATCCAAAAGATTTAGAATAGTTTGATGTGAACTTCTCTATAAAAGCTTTAGAAGAGTTCAACGAGAACTTCTTTGTAAAGGCTACCTTCATATCACCACCACAAGCTTCATCAAAAATCTTCAACTTTGAAAAGTCACAAATCCAATTTCGGATGGCCATATCAACTTCTCCCCCTTTTTATAATAAAAAATATGATTATAAAACCATCAAATGGTCATGAGAATGATCTTGAATTGGATAAACAACTACTATGCTCCCCCTCGACAAAATGGAATAAACAATGAAGTTTAAAATTCGAAATAGTCGAAAAAATTTGACGTTATTGCGAAATACGACCTTCCGAACTGCCAAGACTTGTTGATTCCACAATTTTCTGTTAAAAAAAAATGTGCACTAAAAACCCAATTATGTTCATCAACCGTTAAATTTGCAAACAATTCTGAATATCAGACTGAAACTTTCACTGTGCTAAAAGTCAAGGGACTTAAATGGTAATTCTGCATCATTTTCCCTTTAATTTTTAACAAATTCGGAAATTGAACCAAAACTGCCATGTTGCTGAAGTTATAGAGACCAAATATGTAAACATAAATCTTCTTCCCTATTTGATCTGATTAAACGAACAACAACGACAACAATGTGAAGCATGAATTCCGATTCTGAAATCAAGAAAAAATTCTGGATACAATTTGGTTCCGAGCAAAATGTTCAGTTCGTATTCCAAGCCACTCATCATTACAATTCCGAATACGGTGATTTGAGTTTCGATTGCGAGACCAATTCAAATTGCGAAAAGTTTCAATTACGAGATCAAAAGTGAATCATCATATGTGAAACTAATGTTCTGATTACAAGACAGTTGCAAGAACAAGAACACTTGCGAGACCATTGTAATCAACTGTGAATCGATGTAGTCGTTTCAAAATAACCTTCGCACAATTAAGAACCGAATTTTGACTGATAAACCACCATTGCGATACACATACTCATAACAACATCTTTGTTCATCGTCATGATTGAGAGACCATTGATACTTTATAAAATGATACCTCAGTGCTATATGTTTAGTCTTAGAATGTTTCACTTGGTTGTGGCATATGCGAATAGCACTTTGTGAATCACAGTATAAGGGGATCCTCTTCATATTTATCCTGTAATCTCTAAGCTGACTTTGAATCCATATCACTTGGGAAGTACATAATACAGGTGCGATGTCCTCAGCTTCAACAGTCGATAAAGAGACGCATGTTTGCTTCTTTGATTGCTAACTTACGAGTTTTCCATCAAGAAACTAACATCCTCCAGTTTTACTTTTTTGATCAAGACCACATACATCTAGATCATCATTAGAGAATGCTTGCACAAAGAACCATGACTTTGAAGGATACCAAATTCCAAGTGAGGTTGTTCGTTTAAGGTATTGGAAGATGTTCTTTACAGTAATCATATGGGGTTCTCGAGGATTTGCCTGAAACCTGGCACAATAGAAAACAAAAAACATAATATCTGGACAACTAGTTGTTAGATACATCAATGAACCTATCATTTGTCGATAGAGAGTAATGTCTGCTGCTGTCTTGGCCAATGATGGTGTAAGCTTCGTTCCGAATGCCATTGGAACCTTGACCTTTGAATCTCTCACCATGTCGAATTTTGCAAGTAAGGACTTTTTGAAGGCTTCTTGGTTAATAAATATACCCTCCGAACTCTTTCTAATATTTAAACCAAGGAAAAAGTTAATTGGACCCAATGAGCTCATTTCAAATTTAGTTTCCATGAATTTTCGGAATTCAGCGTTTAATCTAGGATTAGTGGATCCGAAAGTGATATCATCAACATAAATTTGAACGATCATTAGATGGTCCAAACCACAGTCGAAAACAAAAGATCAAAAGGGTAATGAAGATTCTGGTGAGTACGAAAACAAACCACAACGGAGAACCCAAGAAAACAACTGGTGGTATTGGTGAGTACAAAAACAAACCACAACCGAAAACAAAAGATCAGAAGGGTAGTGAAGCTTCTAGATCGAAAGAAAAAGGAAACATGGTTGATAACGATGATGAAGAAGAAGAATATTTATCTGAAGGGGCAAAGCTCAAAAGAAAGAAACGTGATAAAGAACTTGATGAAATTGAGTGTGTTGCTAAACAATTTGAAGCTCGTGAAAAGGAGGCTCGTGATGCACATGTCACCCTTGAAACACAAAAGGCCCTCTTCCCTCCATGGTCTATGGAGCAGATTCTGAACGAGGCCATTGACAATTAGAGTGTTTACTAGTTGGAGCCAGTTGTTTCATTTGACTTGGAAAACACTTCGGAATCTCAGCTTGATTTGCCGATCACTCCGAAGGCCTTTCTGTTCCAAAGTTTTGAGAAGATTGAGAAAGCTCTTGTTACGGATAACGATGTGTGACACCCCCATTTTCACGGCCAAAAAAGACCGATTTTGTTTATGTTTTATAAAAATCAGAGTACCTCTTTTAATAAAAATGTTGCGAAATTTGTTCCCAGTAAAAGATGATAAATACGTTATCAAAGCATTTCCGAAGAAAAGTATTTTTATTCATTTTAAAACATTTGTGATATCATCGTCAATACAGAAACATAAGCATAAACATAACTTACATTCATTATTACTAGTAATTTATATCTTCTTAATCTCTCAGTGTAATGTGACTTCATATCGACACATGTGATATAAATAAACTGAGTGGGTCAGGTTGGGAAACCTGGTAAGTCATAGAGTTTTCAATCCCATAATGTTATATCATATATATAATTTAGAACTCATAAAATATACAAATTCCCTATATATATATATATATATATATATATATATATATATATATATATATATATATATATATATATATATATATATATATATATATATATATATATATATATATATAGGGAAAAGTGAATATACCCTTAAGGGTATATAAGCTTAGGTACCCAAACTCACTATACTACATCGTTTTGTATTATATATATACATTGTAATTGTCCAATGTTCTTATAATTCAACTTCTAACTTGATTACTTCGAAGATTTTTATCAATTTCACATTTATATTCCTCTTACATAATTTTCATTTTCAACTATAATATATATAGCCTAATAGGTGTTCGGCAAAAAGATGCGATGTAAGAGGAAGATAATAATGAAATTTCGAAAATTTTGAAAGTAAATCAAGTCAAGGGTTGAAGTTTAAGAAGATTATAATGAATATATTAAACAAAATGACGTATTATAATGAGTTTGGGTACCTAAGCTTATATACCCTTAAGGGTATATTCACTTTTCCCATATATATATATATATATATATATATATATATATATATATATATATATATATATATATATATATATATATATATATATATATATATATATATATATATATATATAAGCAAGTCTTACCCCACCCCGTTAATCCTTACAACGAGACTATCTATACTCTTGGAACTTAAATTTTACCTCTAACTTAACCCATACACTCGGATCTATTTCATGCTCTCGGATCAATAATTGTGCCCATTCTATACTCTCGGATTAGGTACAAGTGTCTATGTGTAAATCCATTCTCCCGGATTAACGATGAATGACTATGTCCTATCCATACTCCCAGACTGAGGACAACTGACTATGTCTTAATCCATACTCCTGGACTAAGGACAATTGACTATGTCTTAATCCATACTCCTGGACTAAGGACAATTGACTATGTCTTAATCCATATCCCGGAGTAAGGACAACTAACTATGTCTTAATCCACACTCCCAGACTAAGGATAACTGACTATGTCTTAATCCATGCTCACGGATCGATGACATATACTAAAGTTCTATTCTCTGAGTATAACTCACTCATACTCATAAGAAAATACTACCTAATATTCCTCATAATTAATTTAGGTTCACTCTTTATCCTAAATCATCATATATAAGCAAGTATGTTCTTTAACATGTACTTCAAACAACATCAATTAACTCGCACATAAACATATAATTAATACTTCAATAAATACTTGTATTAAAATCATGTTCATGAAAGGGACTATGCACTCACCTGGTAAGGTGGTGAGTTGGCACTCGGACAACACTTCATTACTCTTACAACAATTGTCCATTGATGAAACCTAGTATCATTACCACTAGAGTTTAGTCTAACGTTTGACGAGACTAATTAATAGTCTAGCTATTATTAATATTATATAAGCATTAAAAAAAATACTTATATAACCCATAATAATAGCCCAAATACTCCTTATAAGGTCCTAATAACATTGCTATATTGAAACATAAGCTATACTAAAGATAGGTTAGGCGTAGCTCACTTACAACGGGTTTTCTCGAAAACCGGGCTTCATTGGAGCAACGTTCCCAAGCTGAAAGGATCTTTTCTCGGGGCTTTGGGAGCCTTGGGGATTTCTTCGGGTGCTAGGGGGTTTACCTAGACTTTAGGAGGTTTAAGGGAGGCTAGAGAGAGAAAGTGAAGTTGGAAGGTGTGTGAAATGAGGGTGCCCCAACACTCTATTTATAGGCTGGAAATCACCAAAACTCGTGGATTTGGCCTCCAACTCGTCGAGTTCCAGGCCAGGTGTCACCATCTGGTGGCTAGCCTTGGGGAGGAAGCAACGGTTGTGATCGCGTCACGTCACCCAAACTCGCACAATACCCTCCCGACTTAGAAAAAGCATAACTATCGCATACGAACTTTGTTTTCGATTTTATTTATATTCACGCGTAGGTAAAAACAAGATCTACAACTTTCATTTAGGCTACGTTGGCTAATTCTCGACCGATATTAAATTTAACAATAGGAGGAGATTAGACTGTTAAATGATCGCGAAGAATTCGTAACTCCTTCATACGCACTCTGTTTTCGTATGTCTTTTTATCATTGAGTTCCTCTTAATGAGATATTAAACTATCATTTAGGTCGCGTAGGCCAAAAACCGCTCGAACTAAAATTCGAGTTTCGGGCCGTGTACAGTTGTGTCAAATCTTATAAAATTCATAACTTCCTCATACGAAGTCAGATTTGGGCGTTCTTTTTTGTATGTTCTCAGTTTAACGTATACTACAACTTTTGTTTAGATCACTAAGGCTAAAAAGTACTTTATCAAAAATTCACTATTTACATCTCCCGGTGCCGTGCCGGTTTTGCCGTAAAACTTCGACAGACCATAACTTCTTCGTTAAAACTCGGATTTCGACATTCTTTATGTGTATAGAACCCTTGAGACATATTCTACAACTTGGTTAAAATTATTTATTCTAAATAATATTTTGTTGAAAAGTCGTTTTCGACCCCTATTATCTCTAGATTGACTAGCCCGGATCTACGGACGTTACACGATGTCAATCATATGATTTTCTCATTCTATCTTAAGCACGGGAAGCCTCAATATCAGACATGGAGTTCGATGAAGATAGATGCAGTGAATGTTTTTGGACCGGTTGAAACAGAAAGCTTCATCAACGTTCGATTCAAAGCAGTCTGAGGAGCAGGGTGTTCGGTCTTTGAATTCACTCTTGCCGAATTGTCGTGTCTTAATCCACACGATTGGATTTCTTTGTTCTCTCTCTCTTGTCCGAAGATGAACACAAATTTGAACCAATAGCGGCACATCTGAATAGAATGTTAGTCTTCTACATTAAAGAAATCGAGAAAATGGGTGTGGAGATCGTTGCTGCGCTCAGAAAGAAATCGACTGTACAACCAAAAGAAGCTTCGAAGTATATAAGTAAGATAAAGTTGGGAAAAATTCGAAAGGATGACTGGAGCATGGTGTTTCAACAACGAGAAGGTGACAAAGTTCAGAAGTGCTTGTTCTCCTTACCAGACAAGCATCTTTATTCTACATCCTGTCTGAACTATATTTTGGGGATAACAGAATAATGCAAAGCAAATGATGCTATGGATAAGAAGTGTTTTGCGAATATAATCAAATGGTATATTGCGGTTCGCAACACTTTACTTGGACTAATGCCGAAACTGTTTAAAGTTCAAAAAGGTCAACAACAGTGAAGGCTCTCCTCTCCTTATTTGACACAAAAGGGGAGATTGTTGGGTTATTTAATGTGTTGTGTCAAATTTACTATGTATGTATTTAGCCTTTATTAATTAGATTGGGCCTATCCATCCGCATTTATGCTTCTAGGGTTAGGCTATAAATATTGCATGCATGTATTGTATTAGGGTTAATCATCTTTGTGATTCCCTAAATTGTCTTCACAGAACAATTCTCATTTAACTATTCTAAGGCATTGATTATTAATCATTCAACACAACTTCGATCATTATTCTTCTTATTTGATTCAATTTACTGTTATTGAATCTACCGATCTACTATTTATTGTTTCATCACAAACCGATGATTGTGAGACGAGTGTCTGCTACAAAGCCTTAATAGACATGAGTACTAGCTTATTTAGGGGAGATGCCTAAGTTTCTTTTATGTGCTAAATGATTTGTGATATAATATGCCTTACATGCTTTATGATGTTATCGTTTAATTGATCTATGGTCTGTTGCCGACCGGATCCGGAAATTTTATGTGCTCAAATTTTCAAATGTTTAATTACGGTATTAGAACTGACATATAACCTTTCTGAGTGATAAGGATATTTATACGTCTGTCGTAAATAAAGCTTTCCCTATCTTAATTCTCGTCTCTGTGCACTAAACATCTGCTAGAGTGTATAGATCGACATAGTGAGAACCTACAACAGATTAGGAAATGCTAATGGAAACCTGCAGCCTGAGCCATGAGTGATTGAGCGTTCACCAGAGGTAGCAGCTACACCCGAGCCAATCATAATGACAGGAATACAAGCAATGATACAAATGACTTTGGATCCTCAGATGGAGGAGACGAGGCATCTACTTCAACAAAACAAGGATGAACTTAATGTACCCATTATACAACCTGGATACTCGATGGAAGGAGATTACAGTTGTACTGTGAGTCAAGTTGAACCCCGAATTATCAGGAGGAACGACCTGAACATAGGGATTGACAAGGATATGTGTATGTATAAGAGCTTCTTGGGTGCCAAACCACCAAGTCTATCTGGAAGCCTAAAGCTAGTGGAAATTATGGACTGGATCTCCGAGATGGAAATGGTATTTGAAAGCTGCAACTGCAGCAATAAGCAAAAGACCCTTTTTGTAGTCAGACTACTAAAGACCGGAGTTATAAGTTGGTGGAAGTTGTTGGCAGATACAATGCCACGGGGAAAAGCCATGTGGATGT